ACACTTCTAAAAGCACTCTGTCCATGTTTGACTTGCACACTCAGACTGCGTTTTGCCATAGCCATCCAGGAGAATCATTGGGAAGTACTGCACTTATCCTTCTCCGTTTTATAGCACACTCTCAACACCATAATCATATCCATTAACATGCATGTTTAACAGAATATTTAATAAACTTATTCTTAAAGAATTTCCATATGCCGTCTTTGCATTTCTTATGGGTAGGACTTCGGGAGCCAGTGTTGGGGTAATTCCTTATCTTTTAAACAGAGAAATTGGGTAGTCAAGGGGCAAGACAACAGGCTGGGGTTTTTCACTGGAGCAGAGCACTCATAAAAACTGTTGCCTACAATGGTTGTTCCAGATGCTTAGAGAAGAGGAGCCCATGCTGTGAGAGGCTAGACGCAAATCTATGCCTTCTCCTTTCCCCTGTATGTGATACTTGTCAGCCAAGGGGGAGTCCCACTGGGCTCCCTATTGGCCGTGTCCACTCCCTCTAGCATGGAACGAGGGCCTACCAATTCCCATGATGTGGAGTGAAGGCAGTGAACATGGAAATGCCCAGCTTGCTGTGCTTAGAGCATAGTTCATTAAAAAATCTAATTAGCAGAGTAATTAATACACTAGGGCATGCCTTTGGGACTGGCCTTCTGGGAAAAAAGGGCTTGTTATCTTCAGAAGTAGTGCCCAGGATGGAGAGAGGAAACAAACCCAAACAAACTCCTTTTAAAGTTGTGATTTTAATTACTGAAGAGTTGCTGACCCTCAAACAGTCTTTGAATAATTAGACTCCTCCTTCCCCCCATGGTTATTTCCTCCAGTTCATTTCTGCCCAGCCTGGCTCATTTTGTTGCCTCAAGCAAGATTTAATTGAGCAGCTTGTTAAACAGAACTGCCAGCCGGCATGCCCTCTCAGTGCAACACTGTCCTTTTGTAGTGGATCAGGCATGGGTAGCCATTTGCTACCTGGGGCATTAGCAATCCTCTCTGTGCTGAGCATGGGGTTTGGCATGTCTGTCAAGCAAGGAGCAGTTCACTGCAAACTGTAGTAATGATAATGCCTTGTGGTTACAAAGCTCACCAATGGGTGGAGAATTCGATCTAAGGCACTGGCTGGGGATTTGGGAGATATGGGTTCAAATCCTGGCCCTGAAGTCTGCCTTTGACAAGTCTATTCATTCCTTTCTTTCATCTTCGGCTCTTGGTCTGTGAAATTGGCACGGTTCTCCTTTCCTTGTACACTCATTTGGACTGATGATGTCTTACACAGTAGGTTTAATATTTATCTTACACAGCAGCACCTGCTGCTAGGAGACTTTTCTCAAATGGGGCTTCTAGGGCCAGATATATGGCAATAGTAATAAGACATCTTTAATTCAGAACAGTTCCAAAACACTTCTCAAACTCAGGCTGAACCCTGAGATCCAAGCCATCCTTTGATGCTGCAAGAAAATGTAGAGGTCATTGACTGCTGGATCCCTTAGCAATGCACATCTGGTAGAAGAAAACCTACACTGTTTCTTTGTTGCAGTTAGCTAAGAGATCTGCACTGGAGGCTGCAGCAATGACACGCCTTCACTAATGAGCACATCCGGTTTCTAGGCTGTCTCAAATTGGATGTGCTGGGCAGAATGCTGCTTTTTAAAATGCAAGAGACCACAGGGGCAGGTAGGATCATAACCACAACTTATCTTGTCTCCAATAGTGACCAGCACCAGCTGTTTCAAAGGAAGGTTCAATATGCACCATGGTATATAATTATGGAACACCTTGCTCATAGGGGTGATTTTTTCCTAACTTCTCTAATCTCATGTTTGGCTTATGCTCTTTAAAGGAAAGTACATGGGAATTCCCAGAGGGTCCTGGCATTGACCACTGAAGATGATGGAAGAGCTCTTACTGAGTTCATAGGGGCAGAGTTAGGCTGACACTTAGGGCTTTTGGAAGCTCCCACTTGCCATTTCTTAAAGCAGGCCTATCACGTTGGATCTGTGTGGTGGGAATGATCTTGGGCTCTATCCCTGAACCTCTTTACTTCCCTGGGTACATCTCCTTTAACAGCCAGACGTGACACACTGCATGGTAGCTGGCAGACTCTCTGCCCTTCCCATGCTGAGGGCATTTATTTGTGTCCTGTCTCCTTCAGGGATGGTGAATTTCAGCGAGGTGTCTGGATACCCTTTGCTGCAACACTGGAAGGTTCGCTCGGTCATGTACCACATCCGCCTCAACCAGCTGACCATCTCTCAGTGTAAGTATGCTGGGACAGAGGCTGGCTGGTAAATAGCCTTATGAATTATTTGGATGGATTGAGGTTTCTATCTTTTGTACTCATTATAGCCATTAGGGCTATGTGAACCTTCGGATGCTGATTCAATTTGGAGGAGATTTAGTCTGATTCAGTGGCTGAATCTTTGAATCTGAATTGAATCAGGAAACCAGTTAAAAGGTCTGAATCAATTCGAAGCTCTTCAAATTGATTTGGAAAAGATTCGGAGAGCTTCGGTGATTTGGGCAGTCCCGGCTCGCTGCAGCAGGGAGCTGGACCCAGACTCCATGCTGATAAGTAGGGGGCGGGGGGCGACCATGGGGGGACCCCCGCTAGTCCCCATCCCCTGCCTGCTCCCCCAGCCCCACCTCCCACCCCCACCCGCTCTCCCAGCCCTGCCATGGCTGCCCTGCCCAGCCCTAGTTCCCGGCTCATTAAAAAAAAAAGCCCCCGCTCACTGCAGGGCAGTAAAACTAAAGAAAGACCTGTGCAGAGTGCCCGTGGTCTGAGGGATAGAGCAAGGAGCAGGGATGGGCAGGTTTGGAGGGGGCTCTGCCTCCACCCTCTCTGAGAATTCACCAGTGCCTTCTGTTCACTGTCGCTTTGCTGTGTCTGTCCTCTCCAGCTTTCAGCAATGCCCTCCATTCTCTGGATGGAGCCACTTCCCGAGGAGATTTTGTGGCCCTCCTGGACCATTTTGGTAATCACTACATCCAGGAGGCAGTCTATGGCTTTGAGGAGTCCTGCTCCATCTGGTATCCCAACAAGCAGGTCCAGCGACAGCTCTGGCTAGAATATGAAGACATCAGCAAAGGTAGGAATTAGTGACCAAGACCTGCCCTCTCCTGCAGGTCTCCACATGCAGGCAGAGGCAAGTAGTTTGGAGTCATGCCTGAGGAGCTCCTTCCCAGACCAGCTTGTGCACTGCTGTACCAAAGGTGTGTTTGGTTACCATTATCCTGCAGTGTCAAACCAAGTGAAAGGTGGGTTGTGTTCTCCTCTACATGCCCTGCTTGAATTCCTTTGGCCAGCTGCAGCTTGGTTTGTGATACAGGCAAACTGCCTGGTGCAGAGCATCCTTCGAAGTCAATGGAATGCCTCATAGTAGGCACTGGATCAGGCCATTGACAAAATACCACAGTCCCTAGCAAGGTGGAAGGCTAGTGTATTAATTCCACTAAGCCTTTTTGTCTGATTTGGGACCATTTATTGCCTATCTTTTGTCCTTTACCCTAATCTTAATTTAATCTCTTTGTCTCCTTCCACTTCTGCACTCTTACTTCTGGGTTTTGAGATGGATTTTCCTTCCAGTGTAGTGATTTTATTCTCTCAGAACCTGAGCATATATTTTTTTTTTAATTTCTAGAAACCACTTACGAAGTAGTCATTGTACAGGACAGGCCAAGAAACAGAGAGCTAAGAGATGCACACATAGCTGCTTAGTTTGTCTGGATGAAGCTAGTTGGGCTGCTTAGAGAACTCATCACGGAGACCGAAAAGGAGTTTAATTTTGCAAACTGAGACTTTGTGCAAATATGTTGTGCTTTTGTACAGACAGGAAATTTCTAGTCCAAGATGTGGGGGAGCAAAGGCTAATGTGACATACCAAAGCACTATATTCATGCAAGCAAGTATAGGATCTTTTGGCATATGTGTATGGGTATCCCTTAATGGCAGGATTTCAAAAGATTTGAGGCACGTAAGTGCCCAACTGCCGCTGAAAGTCAGTGAGAGTTTGGTGCTGTCTTTCTGTTTGTGCCTGTGAAAATCTCCCTCTAGCCATCCTTTCTTCCTCTTATATGCTGTCTCCCTCAGATATTTTTGTTCCTGCAGTACTCTGTAAGCAGGACCAGCTGTGATATTGTGTGGGACTCCAGTAGCCCTGTTCTACTTCTGTTTGACACTGGTTTTCTTGCAGCTGCTTGTCACACTTCTCATTTGACTCTTTAGATGCAACAGGACTTCCCAGGCAACACTTCTGTGCTGAGATGTCCACTGTTGATCAGTGGGGCTGCTGCTTTTTAGAGTCAGAATGCAAGGGAAAATCCTGAATTTGTCTCTGTGCTTTCAGAGGTGTAGTACAGGGATGATCAAGATAGGGCTTGCAGAGCCATGTCGTGTGGTCCGTGGGATTTCCCACAGATCCAGAAATTTGGCAGGAGTGAAGTGGTGGCAACATTGATTGCTGTGACTGGGAGCTGCAGCAGTTAGTGCTGCTGCTGTTCATCCTGCAGCCAATGTTCTGGCCCCACCGACTGGCCCCACATGTTGCATCAGGTCGGTGAGGCTGCATGAGTTGGGCACCACGTGTGCAACTGATACATGGACTTTTATCTAATTTGGTTTTAATGTAACAGTTTGTGGGCATGTTGCTGAAGACCATTTGGAACATGTACTTGCAAGAGATGAACTAGACAGTCCAACAGATAGAAATACACACCTTAGGGATTGAAACAAGCTGTTGGCACTAAAATAAACTTACCAGAATGTGTGCTGACCTGGCTGGGTAGATATCAGACTTGGGTGCCTCTCTTGTGTGACTTTTGGATTCGTACAGACATTGAAATGGATTTTTCCCATCTCTCCTCCCATAGCATAAATCCACTGTGGTTCTGCCATGGGCAACTTGACTATAGCATGGTTTTTTTGCTATTTTCTTCAGTTTTACTTTTCAGACTGGGCCTTTTCAGGTGTCTTGGATTCTCTGTCCTCTCCCCGACAGTATTGCATGTCATTGTCACTCCAGTTCTGGCACCTGCCATTTTCACTTCTTAGCTATTTTGTTGGTGAATGTCAAGAGCTAATATTGATTGAAAAATTGCAATAGACAGACCATTCTCTGTAGCTGCTGCCTTCCCCCCTGTGCCTGCCAAGCTGCAATTCAAAGCTATCCCAAAGCGGTCCATTTTCAGCACAATGGGGAAGCTGGGAAATGGTCTTGTCTTCTTTTTTAGTTTAAACAGGCTTGGGTTTTTTTCGTGGGTGTCTCAGAGCTAAGCCAGCACTATCCTATTTCTCTGCAAAATGTTTTAAAAGTAAACTTCTTAGAGCATGGACAGAGGAAAACTGACTTGTTAACTGTATCCCAATAATAAATAGTAGTTGCACAGATCACACTGTTGGTTCAGGGCTGAATTTCTGGAAAAACCTCTGGAAGCAAATGTATGATTGATGTGGAATTGTTAAATTCTATCAGTATCAAACTGAACCTGTGGCCTTGTGCCAGAAGAAACACACAATTTAATAACCCAGTCTTTAGTTACTACTACCTTCTGTTCCTTTTCTCATTCTTCCTGCCCAGATCAGCAGCACCAGAGATGTTTAATTCTAGATAACAGAGATACAATTTAAGAACCTAATCTCTCAGAGTCAATTGTTACAGCTGTAGACAGGAGCATTTGCATGCAATCTCTAGCTACAAAAAAAATAAGGGCCATGATGATGTGAAGACCTGTAGCCTAACTGCTGTTGCTAATCAAAAGCTCCCCATAGCATTACTCCCCTAAGTATTTGTCCTGTAGAGTGAACTTATGCATCATGATGTTAAGTATGACACAACTCCACGCAAATGTTCATAGACTAGGTCCTTAGCTGTTGAAGATTGGCACGACTCCACTAACTCCAGTGGAGCCACGCTGATTTACACCAGCTAAGAACAGGGTATTTCACATCCTGCTGATCTCCATACAAATGTTGCTGGGCAGTAAGTATACACATGTGTTGTACTTCAGTGCCACACCATTGCAACCCATTGTGACATAAAGGCAGTGTTGGAATCCTTTACCAACCTGTTGGAAGGATGCAGCTTCATCTCATTCAGTTCAAAGGCAAGGATCAAGCTAATTCTTGTTTCTCCCAGGGCTATACTGTGCTTTCTCTGACAGCAGTATAAATCCAGGGCAATTCCAGTTGCTTTGGTAAGGTTACTCAGGCTTTGTGCTGGTGTTGCTGAGAGCAAGGTCCTAACCACAGTATCATTCTTCAGTGAAGGGTGGTTGTCAGTGGAAGGCTCAGAAATGACAGGCAAATCCTACCTTTCATCTCAGACATGATGGGTATTTTCACCTGGTGGAACACAACATGCTCCTGCTGTGCAGGCACTCAGGAAGCTCCAAGTCGGGGACATCAATGCAGTTTCCTTTTAAGGAGAAAGGATCTGCCACTTTCTCCATTCAAAGTTAAAGGCAATGAAACATGTCTGTAGATATGTCACGCAAAGTTTCCTTTCTCTTCCATTTTTCCTTCTCTTTCTAAGGGAGACATTAGCCTGGAGGATACACCAGCCAGGTGGGTATCTCAGTAGGTCCTGCTTTCATAGAAAGTACCTTGGCCTCCTCTGTCATTTCAGTAGAAAATTGTTTCAAGACACTGCAAAATAGAGAGAAGCCACACTGCTCACTAGGAAGAGTGAAGGGATAAGCAGTATTAAGGGCCCCAGAATCTCAAGATCTGCTCATGTATTGTACCTCTGCTGCTGGATGCTTTCTGTTTCATGGAGACAGCCACTGGAAGTCAAATAGTTGGTTCCTGGGGATCTGAGTATTAATGTTATCTCCTCTCCGGGACATATTACTGTGATATGAAGTGCTATGGTATGTGCTCAAGAGCTAGGGTTGTTTATCTGGTCCTGAAACCAGCTGCAGTGGATTAGGCCCAAAGGGGAACTTATTACCAGGGATCCTAGCTTTCTCTGTTCAAAAACCCTAAATTCTCTGATTTAAAAAAATCCCAAATTCCCTGATTAAAAAACCCCAAATCCACATTTTTGTATGATTAAAATGAAACACCACTATATGTATAGGTATCATACTATATATCTATATAGATATCAGTTGAACATAATGTTTTATTAATATACAGGGTCTTCATAAAGTCCTTGCACACTTTTATACTTTAATAATTTAGGTTGTAGGTATGCTGGAAACAATCTGTAAACGGCATTTAAAAGCAAATTTATTACAGTTTTAGGACAACTAGAGTACACAATACTAGACTTCATAAGTAATAACGAACTTATTCTTAAATAAGATGGAGCTCTGTACCACTGTGCTCTGCATATACGACAGTTTCTAAATGACGTTTTCCTAGAGAAGTGGATAGGCAGAGGTGGACCAATTGTTTGGCCACCTCATTCCATGAACAGCACGTGCCCCTGGTGGCTAGCGGGGGCATGGCTGCGCTGGCGGCGGTGGGAGTGTGGCAGCGGGAGCATGGCAGTGGTGATTGGGGAGTGCTGCAAGCAGCGTCGACCAGCGGCGATCACAGACTGCCTGCAGATGGCGCTGGTGGTGTCAGTAGCAGGGTGATGAGCAGTGACCACCGACATCTGCCTTTTTGTAGGGGGTGCACTGCCATGCTCAGGGGGTGCACCCACGTGCGTCCCCTATGTGTCACCCTTGCCTCGTTCCCCTTACCTGTCACCATTGGACTTCTTTTCATGGGGACATGTTAAAAGTGTAGTTTGCTTGTCAAAACCACATTCTTTGGTGGAACTTAGGGCTAGGATCACCCATGCAATTAGTGCAGTAACTCAAGAGCAACTGGGAAATGTTTTTAAGGAGTTGGAAGATCAGATTGAGCACTGTATCATGATGGATGGTGGTTATGTTGAAGTCTAGCATTGTGTACTCTAGTTGTCCTAAAACTTTAATAAATTTGCTTTTAAATGTTGTTTACAGATTGTTTCTATCATACCTACAACCTAAGTTATTAAAGTTTAAAAGTGCACAAGGACTTTATGAAGACCCTGTATTTGCAATTTTAAAGCAATATGGAAACTTACCAGTGTCTCAATCATTATAATAAAATAAATTC